AGATAGATAGATAGATAGATAGATAGATAGATAGATAGATAGATAGATAAAGATAATACTCACATGAGAGAAGTTACCTGGAATGTCACTGGCCAACAGGATTGATGTGACCTAGGTCCTGCCTGAGGCCAGTCTTGGTGATCTACGTCTTGCAGACAAAGGTGGAGAGTCACAGGGAGGTTTCTACATATGAAAGAGGTGGACTTTGGAGAAACCTCACCACAGCCACCATCAAGCTACCAGTAGTGCCTAGCCTTCCTCTGATGCCTGCCCCTCTACCTCTGAGTAACATCAGTCCAGTGACTTTGAGAAACCCCAACACCCTGCTCACCCAACCTGTCCTCAGTCACGCCTTGCAGGGGGCATGATCCAACTTATCCTTACTCAGGCTGAGATGCTATGTGGCTGATAACGGGGGTGGAGGTTCAGGTATCTTTGGGGACCAGCAACTTGAGCCTGGTCAACTTGAAAAGTAGGGCTTCCGGGCTACAAAATGAAAGTACAAGCTCCCGCCCTCCATTGTGTCTGGTGGATCCCTCCAGGTCAGCCGAGCAGCTGTTACCCTTGCTGACCTCTTTCCTTGTGCTGCCTGCGTCTCTGTCAAAAGCAGGGACTTCCCATTTTCTGGAATGGCATTGTAGAAGAACGGCATTCATGTTTCATGGCCATTTTCTGCCAAGAAAGCCCACGATCAGAGTGATACAGGTTCCCGCTGCCCAGTTGAAACTGGAGAAATGGCGATAGTCCCTCATTCTTGAGGACTGGAGACAAATCTGCGTGGCTGATGGGTACAGCTACCGAGAATCCAGGGACCTCTGGATTCTGTGACCCAACAGAACCACCTCTTGTTCTCTGGGAGAGACAAGGTCTGTCTCTGTACCACAGACAGGCCTGGAACTATGTAGCCCAAGATAATTTCATATTTACTGCAATCCTGCTTCACTCTCCCACATGCCCGATTCCCTCTTTAGGGGAGCCTTATTTTGATTTTTAAAAAGATTTTTAACTGTGTGTGTGTGAGTGTGTGTGTGTGTGTATTGTAGCTTTTTGTTTTGTTTTTTCAAGACAAGGTTTCTCTGTAGCTTTGGTGCCTGTCCTGGAACTAGCTCTTGTAGACCAGGCTGGCCTCAAAATCACAGAGATCCGCCCGCCTCTGCCGCCAAGTACTGGGATTAAAGGCGTGCACCACCACCAGTGTGTGTGTGTAGGTGCACATGTAAACTGTATTTCTGCCAAGTGAACTCAGGAGGGAGATCTCAGTATTACTGAAGCAGAGGTGGAACAAGTGAGCTCTTCCCTGGTTACTGAAGTTCAAGGACAGGACAAAAGCTTTAGTGTCTCACAAACCCGGGTTTTAATTCCAGCTAACTTATAGCTGAAAGATCTCATTGGAGTTCATTTCCCCACCTGTAAAACAAGGAGTTCCACCTACCAGGCAAGCTTGGCATGTGAAAAAGGGAAGACACGTAAGACAAATAGTATCCAGGTGGTGGCACACATCTTTAATCCCAGCACTCAGAAGGCGGAGACAGTTGAATATCCATGAGTTCGAGGGAAACCTACTCTACAGAGTGAGTTCCAGGGCAGCCAGGGTTGTTACACAGAGAAACCCTGTCTAGAGAAACCCCATTGGCTCCAGCGCTTACCCACCTACTACAGGCTGGTGTTCCTGGATGAAGATTCCTCAGCCTCAGCCTTCGGCCTGCCCCACAAACCCTGTTCACTGGGCTTGTAAAGAGAGTCTCAGACAGGCCCAGGCATGCCGGATATTTCTATCACTGCCAGTTCTGCCCCAGGTGAAAAGGGAGGGCCAGTTTTCTTCCAACCAAAAGGCCTCGGAGAATGAGTGTCTCCCTTCTGGTTGGGCAACTTCAAGAAACCTGAGATTCAAGAAGCAATATTGTCACCAAGAGGGCTCAGAGATAGGGCAGAGAAATTGGGTTCCCTGGATTTCCCACAAGCAACATCACTTTCCTTCTGTCAGTGTGGGTGTAGATAGGCATCTCCTGGTAGGAGAAAGAAGGGCATGGTGATACGGTTTAGCTGCTCGAGATTGCTGGGTCTGGGATGCAAGACAGATAGCATCTCTGTAGGGTTGTACAGCAATCAAATGTGATTAATGTGTGAGGGCAAAAATACTTCACAGGAGGTCATGACATTACCCGATTTCAAGTTCACCAGGGAGCTGGAGAGATGGCTCAGCTGGAAGTTAAGAGCACTGGTTGCTTTTACAGAGGACCCTGGTTGGACTCCTAGAATCCACATGGTGGCTCACAACTGTCTATTACTCCAGTTCCAGGGGATCCAAGGCCTCCTTTGGCTTCTGCAGGCCCACACGGTACACAGACATAAAAGCAGTCAAAACATCCATTCGCATAAAAATAAAGGTTAAGAAGAAAGTTGTAAAGTTCTTCAGTGGCTTCCCCATAGCTTCTGGGTCACAGACGTTTGTAAGAACTCGCTAAGTTCATGGCTAAGCACTGTCCGTAGCACAGCTCTTGTAGCTCGTCCTGTGGGCGAGCTCATCTCCGGCCTCTGCTCTTTTGCATGTGCCGTTTTCTGGCCTGAGTCACCTCCACCTCGCTAACCACTTGTCCTCGGTCTTTTTCCACTACCACAAAGGCCGCCGAGGTCAGGCCCTCTGTTGTTTGTTCCCTTGGAAACCTCCTTTTCTATTTTGCATGCCTCTACAGACGTGTGGCTGTTCATGGTTCATGATCCCCCTCTTTTAGACCCAAACACCTGCTTTCTGAGGTTAGAAGTTGCATGTCTGTGTTCTTCATCACTGTGGACCTGAGTCTCATAGAGGACACACAGCAGAAGTTTCATCTGCTGGGGGAAAAAAGCAACCGAATTAGAGACAGCACCACCTCTAGTTTCTTTAATCCCCTTAGCCTTGAGTCTTAGGTAGCCACAGTCACCGGCTACCCCACCCCAAACACTCAGTCAGCCAAGCGCCTGTCTACCAGAAGAATCCAGAGAGGTGTCTTTTTCCCCTGTCTGTCAAGACTCAAAATATTAACTGAAGAACCAGCCTGTCTGTATCTCTTTTTTTCTTTTTTCTTTTTTTTTCTTTTCTTTTTCTTCTATTTCTCCATCTTAGGCTTAAAAGCCATCTTATAGTAAAGGCAAACTAGGTTCATTACTATTTATAATTAAACCTCTGTTTCTCAAGCATTGGGCTATGCCCCACCTGTAACCTTAACTACACATGGTTCTGTACTGCCCCTTCCAGGAATGGCACCCACATCATTTCAAAAGTTGTTTATAACCATCTTGCAATCCTACCTTTGTTTCAAAAGCTTATACGACCACCTATGACTACCTAGTTAAGCCCCCCTGCAAGCCTGTCTTTGTTTCAGGAGGAACAACCTGATATGCATATGTTCTGCTCCAGCAACCCCACCTATCCATTCACCAGTCCTGCCCCTGAGCTGCAAAAGCCTTGTCTTCCTCTCACCCAGGGCAAACCTCTCGAACCCCACCTTAGTGGGAGGCAGCCCGTGTACACAAATAACAAATCTTGCTTGAATTTGGTCATGATGACTTGGGTCAGTGGTCTTTTCTTCTCCAACTTTTGGGATTAACATGAATCACCTGCATTTTTCCTCTAGACTCCTCTCTGAGACCCTGGCCATTTACCTCATCACCTTCAGGTTTGGGATGTGCTATGAACAGAGTACTCACCAGTCAGCAAACCTGTGGAGGCGGCCTTCTCTCCTTGTTAATCATAGGGCAACTCCCGGTATTCCGGGTCTAGCTGTGTGCTGTCCTAGACATCAGACCACGGACACATTTCTGCACGAGAACCCAGGGATACTTTACAAAACGGCTGGCATCGTGAGGTATCCAAATTACCATCTGGGTCAGACGCTGCGCTAAGCATTTCCAGGGCCTTCCTCAGTACGGCTCGGTGCAACAGGCTCCATTTACCTTATTTTACCTTTGAGGTTTGTAATTGAGGCAAGGAGTGCATGAAACACACGGCATGCTCACATCACTATTAAGTTGTGTGGACTTGGATGGGCTCTGCTCAGAGCCCCAGCCTCCTTCCTGCTCAGCAGCCACACTCAGAGGCAAGACAGGTATGAAACAGGCTGAAGTCATCTAGACCCAAGTTCAGTCAGCAGCTGGGAAGGGTTGTCTCCCAAAGATAACCCCAAACTTGTGTCTCTGGGCTCATGTCAGAGAGATGTGCAGACTCCCTCATGGGCGTGA